GAACGGTCTGCTGTGACCAGAATTTGCAGGGTCTCAAATGCTCAGAACATATGATAATAAACATTTTATATATATATAAATTTATTCATTTATTCATTTATTTAATTTTTGGCTGCATTGGGTCTTTGTTTCTGTGCGCCGGCTTTCTCTAGTTGTGGCGAGCGGGGGCTACTCTTTGTTGCGGTGCACGGGCTTCTCATTGCGGCGACTTCTCTTGTTGTGGAGCTCAGGCTCTAGGTGCGCAGGCCTCAGTAGTTGTGGCACACGGGCTTCAGTAGTTGCAGCTCGCGGGCTCTAGAGCACAGGCTCAGTAGTTGTGGCTCACAGGCTTAGTTGCTCCGCGGCATGTGGGATCTTCCCGGACCAGGGCTTTAACCCATGTCCCCTGCATCAGCAGGTGGATTCTTAACCACTGCACCACCAGAGAAGCCCGATAATAAACGTTTATTGAGCTCTTACTGGATGCCAAGCACTGTGCTAAGAGCCTTACATGCATAGCCCCACTCAGTCCTGCCAAACTCTACGAGGTTGGTGCTATTGTTGTTCCCTGCCTGAGGTGAAGAAAGCACAGCCTGGAGTGGCTGAAGGACTTGCACTGTTAGTAGCAGAGTCAGGACTTGAACCTTGCTCTTACCTGACACTCATACCCGTGCTCTTATCCCCTGTGCTGAGCAGCCATAAGGCAACCTGGTAGTCACATTGATGTTCCCCAGTGATCATGATGGCGATGGCCCAGAGGGTGGAGACTGGCAGGAGGATCAGTTAGAGCTGTCATCCAGGCAAGACATGCTGGGGACATGAACAAGAATTGGAGTAGAGAAAACTGAAAGAAGAGGATTTCGAGAGACGTTGCAGGAAGACTTGGTGACCCACTGGATTTCATGAGCAAATGAGTGGAGCCAAGAAGATTCCAGATTGCTTTTTATAATAAGAAAGCTGTAGATTGGACCTTGTGCCAGCATCTGAATCTGTTGACAACCCTGAAAGTAGTCTTCATGCATCTAGAGAATAGACAGGGTCAACAGTCAGCTATGGTTTGTAGACCTTGGAAGTAAACTCCATGGCTTGGCCAAAGCTGCTTTCCTGTGGCCCAACACATTTGTAACACCCAGAAAAAGCCCTTGTGAAGAAGTCAAAGTTATATGTCTGGAGGATGAAACAGCCAGATATCCTGTGATATTGAAAAGAGACATTCAGAGGGTATTTTCCTATGTGTTTTTGCTCCTTTTTCTCCTTAAGTAGTCATGTGTTTCCTTATGCATCAATGCAGCAGAGAGAGAGTTCAGGTTTGGATGGAACGATAAGAAGGGCAGGCAAGCTGACAATGCAGAAGAGAAGGGGCTTTCTATCAATAGAATCGGTTGGAAACCTGCTACAGAGACTGAGGTTGCCCTGGGGGATCAGCGAGCCCTTTGCACACAGGTCATGAAAGTATCAATCTCCTTGTGTGGGATTTGGACCTCTGGTTGGATTGCTCTGCAAACCTGACAGTTCCAGGAAGGAGTCATAGATGGAGGAGACCCATATGAGGCTGCACCAAGGTGTTACCATCTTACTCTCCAAGGTTATCAGACACTCGTGACCCTCCCACACAGCGAAGGGATAATGTGTGATCAATGATCTGTTGTTATGGAAACTTCCTGAATGGTTTCCAGTTGGCCTTTGTTGGGGTTTGAGCCCGCTCCCCGCTCTCCCGCCCAAATAACCTCTTGCTCCCTACCCGGTTTCTGACCCAGTCAAGGAGGAAAACAAAAGAGATGCCAATAGAGCCACTCAGACATTAGCAGAAATGACCATGATTTGCCTGATAAACAGGATGAGCTCTGTGGGTTCACTGTCTTCTCCAGCCTTTGTACTTGATTAGAATCCTTCTTCTGTGCTCTCTGTGGAAGGTACTAAAGCTGTGATTCTTGGGAGAAAATGAATCAGGGCGGAAGAACTTTCCTCCTTAGGAGGCTACACAGTGCTTGAAGGTGAACCCAAGATGGATTGATAGACAGGCATTAATAAGGGAGTTCTTTAGGGGGAAGAGAGAGAGAGAGAGAGAGAGAGAGAGAGAGAGAGAGACTCTGGAATTTTGAGGTGCTTGAAAATATAAGGCCAAGGTTTTAGTAAGAGTTTGCATGGACTAAGTGCTTAGACTCCTTTAAATGTTGAGGAGATTTGTGAGTGAAGATTGAAGTTCGTGGCTAGGTCAGCTTTGCTTCTTCAGATGTGCCACATCATTGACTGACGGGGGGGAGAAGACAGAGTTTTGCAAATATAATATCATAGTTACTGATCATCTCTCTACCAGTCAAGGTAACTAGATTTTCCTGAGGAAACAACTCCAAAAGCTCACAAGAAAGGTTTGTTTGTTTGTTCATTTATTTATTTACTTCTTGCTCTGCTGTATACTCACCAGAAGTCAGCTGGGGGCTGTGCTAGTCATTGTCACTCGAGTCAGTCACAAAATTGAGTTTGCCAGGAAAAGGAGAGCTGTGAAAGGTCCTGCTTCAGCTCGGAAGTGATACGTATCGCTTCTGCTTTACCACTGTGGCCAGAACTAGCCACATGGTCCCACCCAACAGCAAGGAAGTGCAGTTCTATCAGGTGTCCAGAAGGTGCAGACTGGAAACAGCTCTTAATGGCCTTCACAATCGCATTGACTAATAAGAGTTTTTGTTTTAATAGATTTTATTTCTTAGAAGAGTTTTAGGTTCACACCAGAATTGAGTGGAAGGTATACAGATTTCCCCTATAGTCTCTGCCCCAACACATGTGCAGCCTTCCCCATATCATCGTCCATCCCCCACCAAAGTGGAACATTTATTGTAATTGATGAACCTACATTGATACCTTAGGGTTCGCTCTTGATGTTGTATATTCTGTGGCTTTAGGCAATAGTATAATGACGTATAGCCACCACCATAGTATCATACAGAATACTTTCACTGCCCTAAACACCTTCTGTGCTCTGCCTTATTCATCCCTCCCTCCTCCCTAACCTCTGGCAATTGCTGATCTGTTAACTGTCTCCATAGTTTTGCCTTTTCCAGAATGTCATATAGTTGGGACCATACAGTATGTAGCCTTTTCAAATTAGCTTTTTTCCCTAAGCAATATGCATTTAAGACTCCTGCTCGTCTTTTATTGATAGCTCATTTCTTCGTATTGCTGAATAATATATTCCATTGTATGTACCACAGTTTATTTATCCATTCACCTACCAAAGGACATATGATTGCTTTCAAGTCTTGGCAATTATGAATAGAATGGGTATAATCATCCATGGACAGGCTTTTGTGTGGACATAAATTTTCATCTCCTTTGGGTAAATATCAAGGAGCATC